TAGTGTCGACTGAAACTATTTCACTGGAAACGGACGGTCAACCAACTCCAAATCTCATATTTGCTCTAGTGCACATCATCACAAAATAATTTACAAAACGGTGGCCAATGTTTTAAATGTTGGACAGAACTTTTGTGCGGAAAAAAATTGTGCTTTGCGAACAGGAGAGAGTATCATCGCCTTAAATAATACACTAGCTTGTTTCTCTTGCTGCAACTTAATTCGAACTGAAAGTGCCATTATTTCTATTGAGGCTTAAATTGTAGCTAAACGAATCAAGGAAGCTAGTCACATGCAGAACGTAGGTGGGTGATTCAAGTAGTACGTGGCTGTCCATCGTTGCCATTATAAATTTGGTGTCGTCCGTGACGTTCCCATGCACTACTTGTTTTGGCCGGGCTAGGCAGCTTCTCCTATATTCGGGTGGTTGTGGGCATTGCCTTGCTGCATGATTTGAGTCACTATAGATGAGTAGGCCAATCATATATTACTACATGGCTACGCAGCATGTGATTGGGAGGCAACAGAAATCTGAGTAAGTAGTGCAAGACAGTCATCTGAGCTAGTAGTCCGGGAACACGTTAAGAATAGTTCGAGAAACGGTAACCAAATGATGCATATTGCTGTTCCTCGTGGTTCCCCTTGATCTAGCAGCAACCCAACAACGCATCATCATGGTGGAATGCCCCAGATTGTTTTCATCTTCTTGTTTGGATATTCTTGTTTTTCCTCCACGGCTTTGGCTTAATAAGCTAAGCTACCTAGATTAGTCGTTGATGCTGTGTAGGTTTGTTTTCCATCTCACCGACTATTATGTGAAGTTAGGGATTATAAATTGTTTTTTCTCTCATTACTCCAACTTGCTGTTCATTCTAGCAAATCTCAAGGGTAGTATCTAGAGCTCCTTTCCATTCATCCAACACAGTGCAATGCCCCTTTATGATGATAGAGCTAATATGTTATATCCTGATTTTTTTAGTACTGTTACGAAATTAATGTCATTCTAACCTTGCTCCACTAAAAAATGAAGGTCATATATCCACTCTACTCATCGGCGGTGGCTAGTGGGTGCTGCCATCACGATCCCATGTTGACACTGAACTAGACCCCGTCATCGCCGCCACCTCTTTTGCCTTGAGACGACACCCTCTACTGGCTAGTGCGGCTGCCACATCGTGTGCAAGTTTGTGGCCCAATGGTATCACTTTGTTCCTTCCTTTTATGCCACACTGACAAGTTTGTGGCGCGCACTATTAAGTGTGATGGAGAAATTGAAGGCATCCCACATCTAGCTAATATGGCCTTG